GTCAATATATGTCTTGAGATCAGCCATCTCATCTTGCGATAAACTGTAAATTGGTCCAAATAGTGGCTTAGTTCCTTCCTTGAGGTCGATTGAACAATCATATGGGCGATGCTCAGGAAGAATACCTACATTTTCTTTCTCAAAAATGTCTTGATACTCTTGATATTGACTTAGAATGCCACTTGAAGTCTTTACGTTTTCAGAAATAGGTGCAGCATAAATAGCAAAAGTTGATCATTCTTTTGCTGCGTGTATAAATGCTTTTGCACCTATCAGTACGGGTTTTACTATACTAGACTTATAATTTTTTACTTGGTTGGTAGAACTATTAATAATGCTCTGGAAAAAGTCAAGTTTACGCGAATTCCAATCTATTCGTGGGTTATATTTTTCTAGCCAGGATAAACCTAAAATAACTAGATTGGAGGGGGATTTAATTATGTTAAAAGCTATGTAGCTATCATGACCGTCTATTGTTACTTTTATAGGATGAGTTTCATGAGTGACATCTCCAGAAGACAAGGGACGACCATCTATGACTTCTACATGTATTGGTTTAGGTTTCTGTACAAGGGGTATTTTACGACTTTTAACAAATTGTTCATCTTAAAAACATGCTGAGGCTCCTGAATCTAATAAAGCAGAGGCTTTGTAATTCTTAGGTCTTAAATATAAGTCTATTATAAAACAAGGAGAGGGTTCTGAGGAGAGGATAGGACCTTCATTAGGAATTGTACAAGGTTCCAGCTGCATGGTCCCTATTGTAGCTGGACGAATCCATTTTCCGACATGTTGTTTTCTTTGACCGTCGTACCTCTCATTTTATAGTTGCGTCGTTTCTTTTGACAATGTTGAGCAGTGTGCTTAGATTCTCCGCAATATAAACATAATCCTTCTTGATGACGACGAATCTTTTCTTGCTAAGTTAGGAGTTTAAAACGTACCGCGTCAATTTACATGTCTTCTACTTTCGAATGTACGTTTGGCAAAGATGTTGATGTTGCCATTGAGTAATAACATTGAGGTTCCCGTGAATGATTCTCGGATCGAAATTTGAAAAGTCGATTATCACATTTTACCGCAAAATCGATTGCTTGACTCAAAGTTTGAGGATCAGGTAAGTTGAGCATCAATTTCTTTACTTCGTATTGCAATCCATAAAGAAATTGACTGATGAGTGCAGCATCATCCCACTTGATGTCAATTACAAGTTGTCAAAATTGTGAAGCATACACTGTTACTGAGCAATTTTTTTATCGCAGAATTCGGATCTTATTTGTTGCAACACAAGTTGCATCGTGTTCACCATACATAGATCAAAACTCCACCAAAAAAGCTTCCAAATTGTCCAATATTGGATTTCGTTGTTCAAAAAAAGACGAAAACCACGATAATGCAGAACCAGAAAGTAGAGTGTCAATAAACCTGACTTGTGATCCTGGAGTTGGATAGCTTTGTGGTTGAAGTTCAATTGCCAATTGTACTTGATTGATGAACCCTCGAAACTTAGATCTCGTACCATCAAATTTCTCGGGTAAGGCAATTCTTGGTTCTCTAGTGCTTACAGGGTGTTGTACAATTGGAGAAGGAACGTGATTTGTTGTAGATGTTGAAGCAGCTCCGATCATCTCTAAATTTCCATTTTGTGCTTTTTTTGTTCTTTCATGTGTTGGTGAATTGAGTTGATGCATTGCAAGCATTAACTCCCTCATTTGCTCTTGCATTTGTGCCATTGCACTCTTCATTTCAACAAGCTCTACCATAATGACACTAAGAAAAAAAAATTGTTTGATACTGCTCAAGACAAAAGAAAAGAAAGACTTAATAATAAAGAAGATACTAAGAACAATATCAATTTAGAAGTGGGTAATCCGCAAACTTCTAATATGCTTATGACTTGTCAAGAGAAAGGGGTAATCCACTTTCACTCAAGAAAAACAAAGCTCTGATATTGTAAGTGTACTCTTGTCAATCTGTCAAGGACAAAGACTCGATGAGGGAAAATATACACAAAAAGGCTATCTCGATATAATAAGTCAAAATATAAACAAGTAAGTATATTAAAAGGAAACTGGAATGGCTATTGCCACAAGACAAGAAACTAAAGACTCTTGAACCTAGGCTAGAAGCAAGAAAAGAGTTGACAAGAGTGAAGAAGCCTTCAATCTTGTCTCTATATATACTATGTAACTTGGAGCTACGTGGCGACGTTCTATAGGACCTCCAATATGTGTTGACTTTGTAGGACACATGCCTTGACTTATAAGGCAAGTTTTTCTACGTGTAGGCCACATAGTTAGCTTGATCTTCAAGTTAACAACATGTGTGGCACATGGCCAACTTGTTGACCACGTTTCTAATCCAAAAAGTCAATTAAAGACACCTATGAAGTCAAAGCAGTGTCTAGGAAGTTTCTAGGAAGCTTCTATATTAAATATTATAGAATTAACTTACTTTTATCTACTTTTACTTACTTCTACCTATTTCTATATGTAATTATTAGCTTACATGATTATGGCCGTGACATGGAGGCAAAAGTGAAGTCTTCTTCATTCTTGTTAACACCTTTCTAGTCTTTAGTTTTGTTTCAAGACTTTCTAGACTTCTTGTTTTTGGCAATAACCATTCTAGTTCAATATTATATCATCTTTGAGTGACTTTTTAGTTCTTTTCAATGACACAAGAGTATATTGAGGATTTTCTTTCTTCGAAATTCATATCTTTGATAAGTATAGTATTTTAAGTTTGAACTTTTTATCAACTCTTCTTTTTTTTCAAAGATATACATACATTTACATACACACATGTAAATTATTTTAACTATTCCATAGTTTAGATGTTTAAAACTATCAATCGTGAATAATTTGATAATACATTGTATATGTAATGATTAAATTTATATTATTCACACCTAAGTTATACATGTTTTTTTAATTTGATATGTATTTGTTAATTTTTGTAAATTTTTATATTATAATCCATATTCCATAAAAAGTATATTCATTGCTTAATCACTATTATATTATTGATTTTTTTATACCTATATTATTTTATAAATTTTATATAATTTTTGTTTTAATTTTAAAAAGTTATTTATTTTGACATTGAATTATATATATATATATATATATATATATATATATATATATATATATATAATAAAATTAAAGTATACATTTTTATAGTTATTTATTATACATGCTTAAGATTTTTTTTGTAATTATCTTCTTATCTTGAATATATATATATATATATATATATATATATATACATATAATTTGTAAGTCTATTATATTCTTTATATATTAAATTAATAATATTAATTTTTTATAAATTTATATTTATATTTAGTCAAAAGTATAGATTATTATATATGATAATTTATTTTTTGAATAATTGTGTATATATCCATTTCTAAATAACTTTATACTAATTAAGAATTATAATTTTTTAAAAGAAATTAAGAAAAAAATATAAAATTATTATATTAGTATAATTAATTTATTTCTTGGAACTAACCTTTTAATTCATCTTTAGTTTTTTTTTAACCATTTATGATCTATAGTAGTCTTTTTAGATGTTTTTATTGTACCAGTAAATATTATTAAAATTACATTTAGTTTTAAGGGTATTTTATACTTTTTTGAATCTATGTTGGAATTTTTTGTAAAATTTATTTGTTGTTGTATAAATAAGAAGATAAGATGATAAAATTATTAATCTTGTCAATATAGTTTTTAAAAAAATTTAAAAATTGGCTTGATCTCATTAATTTATTTTATCTTGATTCTAATTTAAAAACTTGTTACTCTTAAGCTTCTTGAATGATTGATTTATTTATCTCCTTGCAACCATGTCAAATATTGTAAATCCTAATTTTGTGACATTCATAAATTGGCTATATGAATAATAGCAATCTTATAATTTTTTTAAAGATCAAATACAAGAAGAAAGATTAATTTACCAATTACACATGTTGAAATGGTTTGAAAATTTTCAACAAATCTTTATTAAATTTTGGGAAATGATAAAGCAACCCAAAATTTTACTAATTCGACCCAAAATGTTTAAACCATCATTGTACATTTTTCCAATTATTCTTGTGTTTCCAACCATTGCCCTTGTCCTTAGCAACAATTAGAAACAAGGAACAATGGGAAGTTGCAAGGATGTAATGATGGTTAAGAGAGAGTAGGTTGCTTTATCATTCCTCTTAATTTTAGTCCTTAGATTATTAGAAAGTACATTTATTTTTATTGATATTAATATGGTTTATTTACAAAAGTTAGATTTGTATATAACTTTTATCTCTTTCATGATGGTCATGGTGTTGAAGTTTTTTTGGAACATCACAAAATTATTTTTGCTTTTAATTTTTTAAGAACTTCAATATATTGAGAAAAATAACAACGTGATACAATACGTTATACATGTACTGCAAGAAATAAGGTGCCAATCATAGAAGAGACATGTTATATTGCGAGGGTTTGCATTCAACAGCCACAAGTGCTTTTTAGTCTAATGGTATTTACATGTAAAAATATATTTGCATAAATTAGAACGATGACCTTAGAATATAAGGGGTCAGAATGGGATACGGAGAAAAGGCGAAGAGAAACGAGGGACTTGGGAGTGTAGAATGGAAGTGAGAATTGAGAAGTAAGAAAGGAGGAGGAGGAGCATGAGCAATGGATGATCGAGAAAGTGGCTCCCTCCCACCGCTGCATGCATCCATCTATCCAAAGTAGTGGTGACAGGTGTGCGCGTGGCCGTGAGGGTACGTTCCGTTCAGTTCAGTTTCAGGGGAGGAAGGCGGTCGGTGGGTGGCTGATTTAATGGTGCTCTGGGCTCGCTCGCTCGCAGGGAGGGGAGGGGAGATGAATTTTCGACCTCTCAAATACACTTGAGGACAGTACCTAATTTACCAACCCCCCTTTGACTCCCTCCCGCCACCAACAGAGTGAGAGGGCGGGGTCTTCCTCCAGGTTCGGCAGGTGCATCGCTGTTCCCTATCCCTCTCTTTGCTGCTCACAGGCCGTCCATCGCTTCGTCTGCTTCTGTCCTCATGGCCGCCTTCTTCTGGCCAGGTATTAGAAGAGATGGTGAAGGTATTAGGTCGAAGTGAGCTCTTTGGAATTGCATAACCTGAGGCGGTGGTTATGAGTGAGGAAGACGCATGTCTGTTGATTAGGGCTGGAGTGCGTAGTTAGGGGTTTTAAGTGGCTGATATGGCCTGTCGCAGTGTACCGTAAACAGTGGTCTGGGCTAGTTTGGCGTTTGAAGCGGAGGAAATTCACGTTGGAGAGAAGAGCTGGAATGTCCACAGAGATTTGGCGTGGTGGTGGAAGTCTGGTGCGTGGTAAAATAAAAAAATGAAATAAAAATAAAAATCTAGTCTAATGATAATCGGTGTGACTTTGACAAGGATAGGGATTGGTACATAAGTGTGTTCATTTTGTATCGCTATGTTTCTATGGGTGGATATCGCAGTCGATTGCAATTCTTGGGCATGGTAGCATTAGGGTTTGCGACGTTATTGGGTTAGGGTCCGTTCGCGGCCGAGGGAGTGTCGGGGTTTAATGGTTTTTGGTTTGACGTCGCACATCTCTCAGAGTCGTAGTTCTGTCTAATTTTCTTTCAACCCTTGAGATCGTCCTCCATCCTTTTGCAGTCTTCAGTACGAGATGGGCTGAAATAGTACTAGAATTCCCTGAACTCTTCATTGGATTTTTCTGCAAGGTCTCTCGTTGCTATGTAGTGTTCAGCTTTTGTGGGTCGAAAGCTGAAACAGTGAGTGGAAGGTGATGCCAAGGCCAGTTCGATTCATACGCTACTTGTGTTGATAACGGGTGTAGAAGTGGCCGGGCGTTATTTTCCCTGGTGTGCTTGCGAAGTGTGAGTTGTTGTTGTGTTTACATTTCGTCAACACTTGGGCATGTACATTGGGACAGTAGCAACTCGCGAGGCGGGGTTAGCTTCGCGTGTCTTCTTGAAAATCCTCCAAGAGGCATTATTCTCTCGTCAATTTTGCTCTTGAAGATTACTGACCTGCTCCTTGGGCTTATTGTTGAGTATCGTCTGCAACAATAGTTTTTTGGGGTCATTGGTCTCAGTAGATTGTGACCTTGTTTGTAACGTAGGGTTGATTTCTTGTGATGTCGCTGACGTTGCCCAGTACGTTACAAGGAGAATTGGCTATGTGGTCCTGTGGTCGTGGGTGTGCAGGCTTAACGGATGCGCTTGTCGTGTACTCACTCTTAGCCGTAGCAGGAGTTTCCTTTTCTTCCGTAGGCTGCAATGTGTCGGGTTCGGTTGAGATCCCTCCTGCATCTCGTTGTAGTGCTTATTATTGTTCGTGACTGGCACTGTAGGTTACATTTTGTTGGCTTGCTTTGGCAGTGAACAATCGGTGTTCTATTTTGGTGCGTGCTGTGAAATGTGTTTTGTTATACCTTTTGGCCGCCAACATAACTGTGTCACACCGTTGGTTCAAGTGTGCAGCGGCTGTATCAATATTAAATCAAGTGTTATAGACGGTTGACACAAACAAGGTGTGGCACATCTTCAAAGGGGGGGGGGGTGGGGCACAATCAGTTAAGATGCCGGGCACACAGGACCGGCTGTACATCACGTATTTTGCAGATGATATTCCTGAGGTGCTGCCAGAGTATGTTGCTTCGAATAGCAAATGCTATCCCCGGGTGGGACAGGAACCTGCAGGCATATGCTTCCATGAGGCGGCGAAGCGCGCTTTAGGTGTGGACAAAGAGTCCGTTGGGGCAGAGGAGGTTGTGCCAGAGAAAAAGGATAAGAGTGGAGAGTCCCCTGCGGTAGATTCTTACCAATTCAAGGGTAAGAAGAAGTCTAAAGACGGGGTTGAAAGTCAGGACCATTATGCCTTGTTAGGTCTGAGCCACCTGAGGTTTCTGGCTACTGAAGACCAGATTAGGAAGAGCTACCGAGAGTCCGCTTTGAAACATCATCCCGACAAGCAGGCCGCCCTACTTCTGACAGAAGAGACAGAGGAGAAAAAGGAGATTAAGAAGGAGGAGATTGACCGACACTTCAAAGCGATACAGTTGGCATATGAGGTTCTGATTGACCCTGTGAAGAGACGAGCTTACGATTCGATCGACGAATTCGATGACGAGATTCCTAGCGATTGCGCCCCTGGGGATTTCTTCAAGGTATTCGGGCCTGTCTTTGCTCGAAATGGTCGGTGGTCGACGATTCAGCCGGTTCCGTCCCTGGGTGACAATGAGACTGACATGGTTAGCGTGGATAGTTTCTATGTTTTTTGGTGGAGCTTCAAGAGTTGGAGGGAGTTCCCTCACGCTGATGAGTTCGATCTGGAGCAAGCCGAGAGTCGTGAGCACAAGCGGTGGATGGAGAGGCAGAATGCAAAGTTCCGCGAGAAGGCGAAAAAGGAGGAGAACGCTCGCATTAGGTTAATGACAGAGAACGCATACAAGAAAGACCCCAGGATTATACGCAGGAAGGAGGAGGAGAAAGCAGAGAAGTTGAGGAAGAAACAAGCGAAGTTCCAAGCGAGGCGCGACAAGGAGGAAGAGGCGGCACGAGCGCTGGAAGAAGAGAGGCTACGAAAAGAGGAAGAAGACAAGAGAGCCGCTGAGGAGGCTTTTGTGCAGAAGAAGTTGAAGGAGAAGGAGAAGAAACTGTTGAGAAAGGAAAAGGCAAGGTTACGGGGAGTGGCAGCAGGCGTGGTGGCGAAGGATGAGAGCGGGGTTTCTGATGACGACGTGGAGAAGTTGTGCACTTCGTTGGAGATATCTCTTTTACGAGGGCTGTGCGAGAAGCTGGAAGGAATATGTGAGGTGGAGGAACAGGCGGAGTACCTGAGAAAAGTGATAAGGGGTGCAGAGAGAATCATATCGTCAGATTCAGCTGCCTCAGGCACTCCCGTTCGAGTTGATTCGAGCTCATCTATCTCTAGCCTTGATGCTACTACATCAAAGACGCAAGACAAGTGTGGAGTGGAGGTACTCGGAGAAAAAGGCAAGAAGACTACTACTTCCGTGACGGAGGAGAGGCCCTGGTCGAAGCAAGAAGTGGACTTATTGAGGAAGGCCGTCCAGAAGTTTCCTAAGGGCACCTCGCAGCGTTGGGAAGTGGTTGCAAACTACATAGGAACCAACCGATCGGTGGAAGAAATCCTGAGAGGCGTGAAGACCGTGCTCCTACAGAAACCGGACTCTTCGAAAGCTTTCGACTCATTCTTGCAAAAGAGAAAGACAAGAAACGTGGTGATAGACTCACCTCTGTCGACGAGGGAGGACGGTGTTGGCAATGTTAATAGCGGGGAATTGCATGGCACGAAAGTAGCGGGCAATGGCACTGTAGGTGGTGAAAAGATCCACGAAAGTAACTCGAAGCAGACAACGGCAGCAGAACAGTTAGCGGGTGGGATGAAGAGCGAGAATGGAGCAGAGCCGACAAAGGCTTCTCTGCAGTCTGTCCAAAGCAATGGGGCAGCAGCGCATGGAGCCGCGGCGGAAGTAGAGGGATGGTCTGAGGCTCAAGAGGTGGCACTGGTGAAGGCCATCAAAGCTTTCCCAAAGGATACCGTCAACAGGTGGGACAGAATCGCAACGGCCGTTCCTGGGAAGAGTAAGGCCCAATGCTTCAAGAAGTTTGCGGAGTTGAGAGACAGTTTCAGGAACACGAAGAAGGCGGATTGATGCACAGTATCAGGAATCTTGTGAACTTGGTGAACCGCAGAAGCATGAGCGCGAGTAAGAAAGATTCTGGCAGTTTATTTTTTTTTTTTGTGTTCGACATTAGCCGTAGGAGTTGCATCAACAAGGACGTATGGATTGGGGGATGGGAGCGAAGGCCACAGTGTACAATCGCTCCCTTAAGGGTGGATGTCACGATGAAAGCAGTTACTCTTCCCATCTTGAAAGTTGCTACTCGGTACTACTGGGTGGTGAAGATTTATGCTGTTGCGAACAAACGCCCTAGTTTGAAAGCTGATAATTTTGTTAGGCGGTAGATTATTTCCACTCCACTTGGATCGAGGTGCAGAGAGTATATCGAAGTAGTCGTTATGCGATGCACCTTGTTCCTGTAATGCGTCGTCCTACCCTGCTCTCTAGATGGAACGAGGACGTGACTTCGCTTTTCTACGACCCGATGTCGGCTTATCTTATTCCTGTAAGTGTATTGGTATCTGGATGATACCTGATTCATTGGTAGACTGGAAAGAAGAGTTTACTCGAGCAGTTCACCCTTCAGCTTTTAGTAGATGGGTACTGTGGAAGGGATGTTGATAGTCGAGAATTGATGTGCTAGTGAAGAAAACTGAGGAGCCTGTTTATCATGGCTAGTAAGAGGGTTGATTGTACCATTATTTGCTGCAGGAGTGTGCACCTAATTTCAATTTTGGTGGGAGTACTGTTGATCCATTCTGCACTATGTTGCACTTTGTTTCTGTAAGTTTCTTTCATTTTTCTGTTTTACAGACCTGCGTCTGGAGCGTATTTCACGTTTTACAGGTGCTGGTTCTGGACTTCAAGGATACTGGTTTGCACTTTTCTTTTGACTTGCTTATTGCAGTGTAGATTCCGACTACTGTGATGTATCTAGCAATCATTTTTGATTGAAGGGCACAATTCAGATCGCCGAAATTGTGACTGCTAGATGTGGATGGTGGATCCAATTTCGACAGTTGCAAATGTAAACTACAAAGTTTGTTGTTGAATATTGGTAATGACACCATGTGCTAATGTGCTGTAATTGCAATTGGGATGTAGATCTTAAAACCAGTTCGTAGAAACTTGGCGCGTATTCGCATGGATCTTGGTGTGATGTGAAAATTGTATGCTTCCGAATGGTGGTGGCAACTAAATAAACAACGTGACAGATCCTGAAGTCCTAAGTCCAGTCAACAGTTCAGTTGTGGTAGACACTAGAGTTTTCATGACAAGTTTCTTGCTCGAACTCCAAGAAACTTGCACAATCAATCATTCAGGGCCTATTCACAAAAGGTCGTTCAAGCGATGACTTTGTTCCTTCGCCTCTTATTTTTTTTACAGTACAATAAGATTAGTTCGGGGTTAATACTCGTCTGAAAAATGTAGTAATTCATGAATAAGTTCAATCCTTGCACTGAAACTATCCTTATATACGTAAAGCAAAGTCTAATATTTATAAGAAGTCATAACCAATCAGAATTCCATTCCTCTATCTCGTCCTATTGAAAGTACCACATCAAATTCAATAAAATTAATGCTGGAATATTACTTTATTTAGTAAATGTCCTTTCTAATGACTCCTTTTTTTAATAGAATCATATGATTGGCTTTATTAACTTATATTTCAAAAAAAATTACATTAAGTTGATCTTGTTTTTATTAAGAAATTTCCTTACTGAAAAAAATTCCTTGGATTTAAGTGTAAATCACTTGATTCTATCTTTTTAACTTCATTAGATTTTTCATATTTTGCTTCTATTCATATATATGCATATATATATATATATATATATATATAATTTAGATGTACAATTAATTTTTATTCATACAATATAAGTCAAATTTTAATTCAAATCTAGCATATCCTTATTATATACATATATATATATATATATAGGGGAATGATAAAGCGATTCAAATTTTTACTAAAGCAACCTACTCTATCTTAACCATTATTGCACCCTTGCAATCCCCATCTATGTTTCCATTTGTTCTCTATTCTCAACCCTTACAAGCAATATCTAACTTATGGTCTTGAAGAACCCAATGAAGTCAAGGACTGCACTGAGACAATTCGTGTGTCTAATGATATCTTTGGGCAGTTCTTAAGTGCTAATGTTGAAAAGAGTAACAAGAGCATAGTTGCTATAAAGGAGCTATACGATACCTACAAGTACTGGTCAAAGGATATGTTTCCAACAATGAAAGTAAAAGATATATCATCTCTACGACAGTATCTAGTTAAAAACTCGTATACCATAGATGCTGTAGATCAGATTCAAGGATTATCTCTACTATAACTAACAGAAAAAAAAGTTTTTTTTTGAACTTACGCAGATTGTGGTACTACTTGTATGTTCAATGGAAAAAGTTGTTATTTTCTAATCTCTAGACCAGAGAACATACTGTTGCTGTGACAGTGCTTAGTTAAGAGCTTGTACATAAGCAGTATAGCTAAAGATAGAGGTGGGGAGTTGGAAACATCGGGAATGGAGTGATGGTTGGGAACAAGGGAACGATTGGGAATGAGGATAGGGTTGAAAAGGTACAATGATGGTTAAAACATGTGGATTGATTTTGTAAAAAATTTGGTTGCTTTATCATTGCCTTATATATAATTGTACTTTTACTATTGATATGTGTAAAATAAAATCATTATATTATTATTGAAATTATTATTAGATTTAAAACATCAAATGCATAAAAAACTTATTTAAAAACATCACGATTACTTTTCATTACCTAGTTTAAAATTGGATTTTTTAATTAAAATATTTAATGAAAAAAGATTATGTAAGTAAAAATTAATTACAATATTTGTATTCACCAAATTACAAGACTATTATAGTTGAGAAGAAACTTTAGTTTTTATAGAAAGTATAAATAATTTTATAACTTATATAATAAATTAAAAGGTGTAGGTTTATGTACAAGACAATCTCATGTTAGAAAACAGTATTATGATTATAAATAGACAATACTAGCACAATTGACGTTGATGTTGAATGTCCCTAATTGTTGCAAATACAAGCAGTTACATTGTCATTGCTAGTTGCCAATAATTGCCATTGCTGCAAATCCAAATATCTTTGTTGTTTCTGTTATTAAGCAATAAGTGATGCAACAAAACATGTGTGGATTATGTCAAAAATGAGTATTATGTCTTTATAACTACAAACAATTAGTGTTTTAATTTTTATTTTATAATTCAAATTTAAATATAAGAAATTATAAAAGATTCCTGAATTTTACCTTCATAATTCAAATTTGACATTAAAACTATTTACAAAAATCTGATTTATAATGAGAATTAAAAAAACAATGACATGTTATATTACAAATTATTGTAATCATTTAAAAATATGTGCTTTTATGTTAAACTTACTTATGAAATAATTAATAGATTTTGAGTTTTAAATTTGACATATATATTATGCAATAGTTTACAGTATTTTATATGTTAAAATTATTTTATTTTATAAAATATATAATTTTAATTTACATCACAAAATATTATTAATTGATTAATTTTCTTTGTAGTATTTATTTATATATTATTCAGACATTTAATATATTTAGAGTCTAATAATTTGTCATAAAATATATGACAAATTATAAAATTATTTATCGTATGATTAAATATTGTAAAAACTTAATAAAATTTTAAACTATGGAATATAATAACATTTTTATATATTCTTTTATTTTTGTGTGGAATGTTTACTAATTTTCTAAAACTTCATGTATGTGTGCTTTTAGTATTATTATTATTATTATTATTATTATTGTAAATTTTTTATGTAATACTAATCAAAAATGTTTGTGTGATTTTTAGCTACATTGTTTGCATTGCAAACCGAATAGCCTACAAAAAATAAAAATCAATGTTATGAGCACGATATATAGTTTTTGTTCTATGTTTTAAATCAGCAAGGTATGAAATGTTTTACACATAAACAAAACTGTAAAAGTTAAGAACAATTACTTTTATTTTTAATTGTCTTCTTAAAGATCTGTGGACTAAATTCATCTATGAAAAATAATAAATATTTTTTTTGGTTCTAAGAGTTATATTAAAATTTGAAAATAACTCTTCTGCTTGCTTCGTCTCTCACATGAATGTCAGTCCACCAGTGAGTGGGGTTGCTCCTTCTGCTTTGCCAACTCGCTTCACTTGACAAGTTTGCCCTCATTTTTGGTTTCAACCTTTCCTTTACTCCATAGACAAGGAATCCATCCCAATACAGTGCAGGCATCTCCTTCATATTCAGTTGCTCTCTTGGACCCAGTTGGGATCACTCTCCTGTGCACAGTTAGTGTTCCTTGATCATTTTGTGGAGTTCGAGTTCCACCTTCAGAAATATTTGCAACAAGAATGTCCAACGCACAAAGTGCACATGTAGATCCTAAAACAGGAACCTTGTACACAGCACAACATTGGATATATATATATATATATATATATAAATGAATTGATTATTCTCTTACTCCTGCCAATTTTACTGTGGCTCAGTGTGAAATGGTTCTGTGTGACACAGGCTACACTTCAAAAGCTGTCTGTGGCAAGTTGGTTGCGAGCACATGGCAAATTTGTTCGTCCTGAGTTGACAAGGCAGCAGAAACAGGAGTTGAAGGAGTGCTTTGAACTTATTGATGCTGATGGATCTGGTATAGATAGACCTCCTCCTCTACTTTGTTGTTAGTCCTCCATTCAAGGAATCTATATACAAAGTTAACTAGAATGGGTTCACGAGGAGGAGGAAGAGGAGGAGGTTAGGGTTCAGACAAAAGAAACAATTCAAACAAATTATGAATTGGGAAAATGTGGGAACCCTTTGGAATGGCTGGCTGGCTGGCTGGCAGGGGCAATTGATGCATCCGAGATGTTGACGGCATTCAATGTATTGGGGATGCATGCAAAGAAAGCAGAGGTGGAAGCCATGCTGGCTGAGGTGGATGCTGACGGTTCTGGCGAGGTGAGGTGAAAGGATAAGGAAGGGAAGGGATGGGAAGGAAGTAAAACTCCCACCATGCCCACTCTACAAACAAACAAGCATTACTTACTTACTTATTAAAACTAAAAACTATTCTTCATTTACTTTTTGTTGATTATGTTGGATGATTTTGTCACCTGGTGGAGCAAGAAACAGTATTCATAAGTTGCATCACGCTCCTCCTTCTGGATATCACCCCTTTCCAATCAAAACAAATGAATGAGCTGCATCACATTCATGTCCTGATGTGTCATTCACAGTGATGCCTACACTCGTATCTGGGATGATGATAGTACCAATTTCAACTTTTGAAGGGTCTTTGTGGGTTGGAGATTTCATTTCACAATTTGTCTTTCAATTTATTTGAAAGTGGTTCAACTTGTAGGTAGAATATCCAGAATTTGTGCAAATCATGACCACCAAATTAGATCAAAGAGTGGATCAATCTGTATATTCAACTTTACCAGGTTACTTTTATATCAATATAGAAGTCCTTTTGATGCTCAATTTGTCTTTAAAAAATTATAGAATTAAAGAACCTTTCTCCCTGGTTAAACGTTAAAATGTGGAATAAGAAGAAATTGACATCTTTATAAACATTCTACAAGTTTTTTTTTTTTTTTTTTTTTTTTTTTTGTTTGTGTGTGTCTGTACATATTATTATTATTATAATGACACAATCTTCAAGAAATTAGTTATGTTTTTAACAAAGGCTATAAGCAACAATGTTGAGCTGCAGAAAAACCTGCTAAACAACAAACACTTCCCTTCCCACTTTTGGCAAGAGCATACAGAAGAAAAAAGGTTACTTATTTAAGATTAATGAATATTAAAAATTAAACAATATTGAATTTTATTATTTTATTATTTTCCTTCAACTTGTGAGTATGACTAAGAAGACAAAAGATGTACAGAGTACAAATTGGTTGTAACATAAGATATCCAAAAATGATGACAGACAAATTTTGAGATATATCTAATCAATCCATGTAGGAGTGTTGTATCATCCTGTTTGTGTTCTGTTGTTGTTATGTTGATGTGTGCATAAACAAATCACCCAATTTTCCAGTAATTTTCAAAGACATCGGGTGGATGTAGTTAATGGAAGCAGTGATGGGAGGAGATAAAGCAAGCCAAGAGAGGCTTCAAGCACGAGCTGATGCTGCCGAGCTGGAGCGCCAGGCTTTGAGGAAAGAAGCAGCAAGCCAAAAAGAAGTGATTTTATTCTCTAATCCTACACACACAGTTCATCATTTTGGTTTGATTCCAACATTGTTACATTAGTGCATGTCTCATCTCACAATCTACAAACTGATATCCATATCAATGATTGATTGATTGATTGACTGAATACACATTGTAAAGAGCACCTGAAAACATATTGATTTTATATTTCTAACATGATGAATTACATGACACGGCAATCTTCCTGATCACATGTATGAATGATTCAGATTCTCAAAAACATTCAACAGAAAGCCTTCACAAATCTTGCCAGTCAGGTTTGAAAAGAGTTGTGCAATTGTTCTTCCTCTCTCTCTCTCTCTCTCTCTCATTCTTACAGAAGTGATTTTACACAAAATGTGATTCTAAAAATGACAGTACTAAATATCAATTCTATTAAATTGTGTATTTGATGACAACAATTTTTGCAGAGAATTAGGAAAATTGCAGGGCTTAACAGAAGAGATTTTGCCAAGATAAAAGCATCTAGTAGCTTTCATGTTGTCATCTAAAATGATGAAGAATAATTATGTTGAAAAAATATATATTTCAAAATTAATTATTAAGCTTCTGAATCTAAAAAATATAACATAAATCAACAGCTATTTTTTCAGATTATTTTAAATTTTGTTTGTATTAGGTACATTGCTACCTTCAAATGTTGTGGAACATATCAATGATAATGTTGAAAACATGTTAAATGATATTCATCAGCAATCATCTCAACCTGGTTCAACCATGCAAGCTTCTACTGGCACAAAAGTTGATGCATTATCCATGGCCAGATCTACCAAATTGGTGAAGTTCAAAACAATTCCACAAAAAGATGCTAATGTACAAGGTATACAATAGTCTTTTAATCAATCAAGAATAGTTTTTATGAGTATGTAACTTATTTGGATTATTATGTTGATATTTTAAATCACATGACTCATATCAATACTTAGTATTTATTATTTAAACTTAATATAAACATGTTTCCAATTGTATTGAATTTTACATCTTATGGGATTAAAAAATGTTTTCAAACTACATCAATATTCAAAAAGATGTATTTGAATGCATAAAGAATGTAGAACATTTTCAATACAATAATTATTAGCACAAAGCAAAATCTTGTATTATGTAATACATTGTAGTCTGAAAAATGTTTTAATATATTACTGAATTTGTGTAGATGAAGTGAAAGAGATATTGAAATGCATTAAAATAAATGAAAAAGATAATTTAACAAATTCAATGAATAAAATTAATGCCAATGTAAGTAATAACCTTGATAAGAAAGAGCCTCATGCATTCCGGAACAAGGTGAGCATTTTATTCTGAGAGTTTTTGTAATTTATTGATGTGTGATAGCTGATAAATTATAGTTTTTTGGTTAATGTGTAATTTATTATCAGAAATCATCTTCAAAGATATAATTTTTAATCACAAAATTATTTTTATTGCTTTACATGAATTTGCATTTTAAGATTGTAACCAGTGAACAAAAAACAGGTTCAGCATAAGCCTGTAATGGAACAACAACTTCTCCATCTCCAAGCATTACAATCACTTCATAAGTACTTTAAAGAAAAGAATGGAATACAGAAGTTCTGAAGGAGATGTTTCAAATGGATCTACAAAAGATTTGAGTCATTGAAACACACAATGGTTCAGAATAAAGTGTTCCAGTATCATATTAATCTATATTTACAACAAAGGAATAATAGACAAATAAAATATGATATAATTAATTTTCTTTTCTTTCTTAATAAATTTACTGCAATATTATTACTGAATATTCAGTAATATTATTGTATTTCTAAATATTTATTACATATATGTACAATATTAAAGTTAGAGATTTGTTAATGCTATATCCCCAATTGATATTGCTACACCCATGTGACCTCTTTGTAAACAAATATCTAATTATATACCTCTTTCTTTTGTACATTTGTTTCTTTCTTTGCTTTAAGAAAGGAAGGTGATTGAGAAAGATATAGTGAATATTTTAAGAGTTATATATGTATGTATGTATGTATGTATGTATGTATATATATATATATATATATATATATGCCTCCAAAATTATTTAACTAAAAAAAATTGTTTTGTTTTGTTTTGTTTTGTTTTGTTTTTTTTTTTTGTTTTATTTGTTTATTTGTTTTTTTTTATTTTATATTTCTGCTAAAAACAAATAAAAAAAACATTTTTAACTTTATTTTATTTTTGAGCCAACATTGGAGTTAAATGTTGGACTACCTAATGCATCCTAAGCATAAAAGAGCCTTTTTTAGTAAATTTAAGTTGTGTAAAGGTGACATGGGATGTAGCAATATAAATTGGAGATGTAGCATTAATAATTCTCTAAAATTATAGATATATGTTTATGTATTTTTCTATCCATCCAAAAGTTTGTTCATCTATTTATGAGTTCATTCAACCATTCTTGTACATATCTATGTAGCAGCTTTTTGAGGATGGCAACTACTTGCATCATAATTTTTTAACTATTTAAGTACAAGAAGTAAATTAAATCAAAAATATGAATTTACAATCTAAATTTTAGTATTGCCATAAATTTAGTATTGTAAAAAGTCTTACATAAATATTTCGAAATTGAAAAAAAGAATTAATTTATTAGAAATCTAAATTTTATTACCATATATTTATAATTAATAATTATAAATTTATATTATTATAAAATATGTATGAATTCTTAAACTACCAAAATTTTAATTAAATATGATAGTCTAGAAGAAATAATTATAAATTTAAAAGCATAATAGAGTATTTTATTAACTAATATAAGAAGATTTTTGTTTCTATTTGTTTATCATTCTAAACATCTATTAATTTATCTATATATATATATATATATATATATATATATTTTGTTTTTTATTATTTTTTGAAAGCTTTTTATTTTTATTTATTTTTAAAGCAAGATAAGATGTTATAATTTTAGAATATATATCTATGTATATAGATGTGAAAGTTTTACAAATAATATATGTATGCATTTAAAAATTAGAATTAGTTTATGGATTACAATATTAAGATTAATATAATATTTTTAATTTATAAAATCAAGTACTTTTTTTATAATATAAGATTAAATTAACTAAAACTCTTGAGTATTTTCTTTTTATTCTTACAAAATATTTTTTATATTCCAAAAATTTAGATGAAATAGAAACGTATCAAATTATTAAAAAATAATTACAATCATTATAATTTTCATATTTATGTTTTAATATTCTGAGTATTTAGCTTATAAAACTGAAGCATCAAAAATTGCTTAGTTTAGTGGCAACAAAGTGCTAAAGTAAAGAGTTTTACTAATCTTGCAAAATAGATGCATGAGATTTGAGTTCTTATGTTTTAGAAACCGTTTTCAATATCTTTTTCAAATCTAAGGTTCTCTATAAATATAAATTAATTATTTATTTTAAAATTAAAAAAATAAAAGTGTTATATATTATAAATTATCATCAGTAAAGCAATTGTAAGTATAAAACAATGAGCTAAATGTAAAAAATCCACTATGGTAATTCTTTTACTATTGCTTATCAATAGGTCTTTTAAACATAATTTTTTTTGTGGTGATGTTTTTAAGGTATTTTTACCATTGTAAAAAATTTTGAAAGCTTAATATTGATTTCAAATCTATATTAGATTTGAAGAAAAAATATAATAAAATAGATATAATCTAAGATTTTAAATAAAAAGAAATTCAATTTGGATAGTGATTTAAGGATCAAAAAAGAATTATAGTTAGATTTGAGATTAGAAATTGAATAAATTTTATGTTATTATACATCTATAATTTTTGTAATTAATGTAAGTTATATTACTATGTCATTACATAAATAAAATTTGGATTTTGTAGTTTTATAATTTTTTTGAGCAATTAGTGGCAATAAAATTCCAATATTTTTTTAAACCAATTCTTTTTATTTTAAAAATGTGATTTTAAATAATAATAAAAATAATATTTAGAAATGCTAGTAAGATATGTTTGTGAAATACATGGTTTGTTACAAAGTATTATTTAATAATTTCTTAAATATTCTATGTAAAGATAATTCAATGTATAGAGTTTTAAAATTTTATGTTATATTTTTACTATTATTTAATTTTTTAAAAAATAAATAAACCAAAAATATATTAAACATTTTTTTATGTTCATAGACAAAAATCTAATGTAAAAAAATTTAAATTAAAAAACATTGTCTTATTTTGCAAACTAAAATTAATAAGTATTTATCATAGAAGAATTGTTTTTTAAAAATACATTTAAAAAAGTTTTATTCAAATAAACCATGTTGCTATGTTAGAAATAATGATAAGATACTTGTTTAAATAAACTATAGTAATTTTATTCTTAACATAAACAGATATATATATATATATATATATAACAGCATAGATATAAAATAAAGGAACAAAAATGTATTGGCTGTTGGCTGTTGAGTTAGCGATGGACCATTTTTTGTTATCTGACATCTTACAACCTACGGAGCTCTTTCCATTCTTTACTTCTTTTACAACACGTTGGCGAACCTTGGTACGTTTAATTTGTTCAGACAAGTCTGAAGGTTATTTTTTATAACTGAAGTAAGATCACCAATTAGGAGTTTTGGTTCTCTCATGATAATTAATATTTAAGCGTTGATTATTTATTGCCATCTCAGGCGATGAACCTCGGCTTATAATCAGAGTTATCTATTTGCTATTGTAGATACCTCAAAAACGGTAATGGGGATTACATCCGCCTCAACAGTCTATAACAACTGTAATAGAAAGTGGGTTATGGGTCGTGCAAAGTGGTAAAGCTCTACGTGTATTACGGAATCCAAGTTTGATGTTTAAAAGTCAGGTTTCAGGATCTCAACGAGCTTCTATGCAACAAGATCTGAAGGTTTCACCTTCATATGACATGTTTCACGTCATAACTGTTCAAGTATTTGTGCATCGATTTCCAGTCATGTTTTAGGGGCTGATTGATTGGCTGTCGTTGTTGGTACAGAAAGCCCCAGACTTTCAAAATCTCACGTTCGAGCGAGCAGTTGATTCTATTCGGTCTGCAGCAACAATTCATCTATGGAAGGTAAATAGAGTCTTGATGGCTGTTTCTGATGGCATGTATAAACTGAAAGGGTAGAATGTTTTTTTGACTACTCAAAAGAGAGGTTGATGTCAATGGGTTTTCACTGTGTACTCAATGGTTTATTTGGGCGAGGAGAAGACTTCGTATCAACTTTGTAGAACATATACCATAAAGAGAGACGGAGAAAATAGAACACCCACAGTAATGCTATCAGTTTCATGTTGGTACACAACATTTGGGTTCTCTGTGTCAATGCAGATTGTGACAAAAGAACCTAAAGCAGCATCAATCGAGCGAATGAGGTCAGAAGTTATAGAAGCTTATCGACAATGAAAATGAACGAAATCAGGGCTTGGGAGAGGGTTTCCTGTATTGGTGCCAAATGCTGATGAAAAAGATTAATAAAGTTTTGATTGTTCTCTCATTCACCGTCTATAGTGCCTTCTTAATTTGACTTATTGTTCCAGAATCACGGAATTTGGTAACTTTTATTTGTCATTAGAAGAGTTACCAGCAAACCAGGTGTGCTTATTCTTCGTAGTCATGTGCTACATCCTGCCGCATATATGCTCAAATGTAAATTGAATGCTCGCCCACTGTGCATTCTTATTAATTATTTAATTTTGTTGAAACCTCTCTATGAGAATGCAAAAATTTGAATCGGAATTTTACACCCGGCTTAACAGTGGGTTGACTTTGTGTTGTATAGATGACTGTAAAAGTATAACCATGTGAGCAGCTCAAACATGTTTCTGTTCAGGTAAGGATTGAATCGATCTTGCACAATTTCATGTCTGTTTTCGTATCTTTCGAAATGACTGAGATAGCACAGATTGAGATCGTCACAATCCCTGGCAACTGTGAAATTCAACTGTGACCTTGAGTAACTAGGAAATTGTTGAAAACATGGCTAATTCTATTCTTGCACTGTACATTTGCACTCTTGACATTTTGACATTTGTGATTAAGTGTACGTTCTGCTATGCAAACATCTATACATTCTTCTTGCATCTCTAAGAAGTGAGGTTTGGCAACTGAGATTCAGGCAGTTGAGTTTGATCTCCGAGATGAAAGGGTTGTTTTGTGAGCGAGCAATATTGTCAAGGTATGTTGCATTCCTAATCTGTCTATTCTTGCGCTCAATCTGATTCAGATGTTGCGTGTTATGGCATTGCTTTCGTTGCTTGCTTTCGTTGACATAGTCTTCTGTAACTACGAAAAAAACACGCATTGTAGCTGATGTAGCTGATGGTTAACACGTCAGTCCAAGCCCACGCCTGCGTGAACAAGCAGAGCAGGGCGACTGTAGCGTAGGAGTGACCACGCGAGCGAGTGTTTGCTGCAGTCGGCGATAGCGTTGGGGTGCGCTGCTGGCGGGGATCGCTACGAAGAACCTGCCACCTTGCCACTTCGCAAATTGTTACTCACAGCTCTTGTTTTTGCTGAGACGAGGGTGTGTTTCATCGAAGTTGGACCATTTTGAGAATTTTTCTTTCTTTCTCGCGCCTCCTATTCCTGACCTTTTTACTCTGAAGTTCGCATGTTGCTCGGAAGAAGTTTTCAGTTGTTGCAAAGACTATGCAAGGTCAGAGGTTCTACTGAATTTCGGGGATGCTTTGTGATGAGTGTGCGCGGATTTCGTGGTCCTAACTCTGTAGCTTTTACTTCAAATCGTGAATGCAGTTGAAGGAGCTGAAAGCCGAGCTCGCTGCCTTTACCGGGGGTGCGCCGAACATGTTGTCTAGATGTATGTTTTCTACTTTGTGAAGTGGTTCGGTCGTTTATTCCTCCCAATTGCAATTTTGTTCTTTTCCATGGGTTTTCGGTCGCCTGGGTCGGGTTTAATTTTGAAATGTTTGATGGCTATCGTGCCAGTGGTTGTAATTTGTAGTACTTTATTGTGTTGGGGCATTTTCTTTTCTTTCTTTTTTTTTTTTTTTTTTTTTTTAAGTGCTACTCTTTGTTGTTGTGAGCGTCCTGTACATTGCAAGCAGAGTTTGATTGTACGGTTAGTAGGCGTGAAGGGTTTGGCTGCCTGTATAAGAGTTGTAAGTTCCATCTATTTCGAAGAGTTTCATACTTGCCCTTATTTTTTGACCCTGAGCCGTCTAAATGTTTTCTTTTCCAGTTGCGCAGATGTGATCAGTCTGGATGTTCGTGGTCTGGGTCCTTTCTTTGCGAGTAGATATATTTGTAGCCAATTGATACCTTTTGTGAATGCTCCAACCCGAGCATCATGGACGTGATTTTTGTTTATTTTTTGTTCTTTCTCATGTTCTGTCGTGAGTCCAGGATTACAGAGCACTGGATTTTTTTGTGTGCTGTTAATTTATCACGGTAGCTCAAAGAATTTGTTTGACTGAGGGTTCATTGCAATCTCTCCCGATAATGCCAAGTTTTTGTGGGGATCTTGGATGTATGTCTTTGCAACAACTGAAAACTTCTCCCTAGCAACATGCAAACTTTAGAGTACAAAGGTTAGGAATAGGAGGCATGAGAAAAGAAAGAAAAATTCTCAAACTAATGGCCAAATGGAGTGGGTCAACCAAATTCTTGAGCAATATTTGAGGTGCACCATCAACTATCAAGAAGACAAGTGAACTTCCTACTTGTCATTGGCAGAGTTTGCATATAACAATACAATCTATGCATCTATGCAAGAAACACCATTCTACTCAAACTACAATCATCATCCAAAGTTGGATGTAATAGAGCATTCAAAGTCGACAAATCTAGTAGCAAAGGAATTTGCTACAAAGATGGCCAAACTTCAAGCAACCATAAAGACTCACCTTGAAAAGGCTCAACAACGTTATAAGCTAGTAGCAAATGAATTGAAGAAAGAACATCCTCCATTCCAAGTTGGTGACAAAGTATGGCTTCTTTGGTGCAATATAAAAACCAACATGCCATATGATAAGTTAGACTACCAAAGGTTGAAACCATTTGTATTTCAAAAATAAATCAATAACATAACTTATCACATGGAGTTACCTTCATCCATGAAGATTCATCCAATCTTTCATGTTTCACTTTTAAAAATATATAAAGAATCAAATATACTAGGTCAAAGACAACCACTACATCCTATGGTTGAAATAAATGATCATGTTGAATTTGAGGTAGAAGAGGTATTAGATTTAAGTATAAGACGTAGAAGGCTTGAATATTTGGTCCATTGGCACAAATATGATATCAATAATTGCACGTAGGAACCAGGTGGCAATCTTGTAAATGCTTAAATGAAGGTTCAAAAGTTCTATCAACAACATCTATCTAGACCAAAAACAACAAAATGAGGAATAGTAGCTTTGTAAGATGGCTTCACCATGAAGATTCTTAGTTCTTGGCCTCATAAAGAAGGGAAGGAGGCAACTTCTAAAGATGCAATTTTTTTAAATATTTAGAACAATATAAGTCAATAGTTTAAGTTCATGACCATAGCTTATTTATATTCTTGTGGTCTTCTCTACTTTATATGATATGGATAGTCAAGAGATAAACACCTTGTCTGTTATACCATCTCAACCAAGTAGCTCGCGGAGACAACTCTGAGATGAAGAGCCGCCTAAATCACAAAGACATTGAAGGATATCCAGTAATAGGTCACTAATAATTGTGTTTGAGATAGAACCTACTTATGAAGGACACTGTCATATTACGTGTCATCTTATTTAGGAATGCATTAGGCATTTGGCTTTAGAAGGTGGCATTGTATTTTACAAATATCCAAAAAAATCCTAATATGTTTCACCCTTATAAAAAGAATGCAATTCGAATTTTAATTCAAAAGTACTTAAATCTAATAAAAAGTGCTCAAAAATACTCTTTTTAGTAATCTCAACCATATATAAATTCTAATTGCCTTATTACTTCAATAACTACGTAATTTCAAACTTTCTTTGCAAATCTTACTCCTAATTAGCAAGCTTTAACAAAATGTAGCTTATGATTTAACTATTCATCTGGAGCAAAAAATTTCATTCAAATGCCACTATAAGTCTTCTAAGTACTTTAAAAGAATTCACTCCAATTCAACTTATAGATTGTGAAAAAATGCTCAAAAAACACACTCATGTTACTTAGCGACCAACTTGAAAGTTGATACAAACATTCTTATAGTGATTTCTCCTTCTCCAACTATTAACTTCAACTCAAAATTGGTATGTAGCTTGATCTTTAAGTCTTCCAACACTATACTAAATTTCACCTTGATTCAACTAATAGATCTTAAAATATCATAGAAATCCTATCCAATCCCAAACTGCCAATTTTTGATATATTCTTATACCAAAACTCAAATATCTCTCAATTGCATCATTAGGTTATTACAAAATTTCATATATACTTTAGACACCTAATTAACCAAACACTTTCAAAACTAGAACCGTAGATGTAATACCAATTTTACAAACTATCTAAGAGTGCTAGTCCTAATTGTATGATATAAATCCCAAATTGCTAATACAAACCTTGATTTTCAACAACAATTGTAAAGTTCAAATAAATTCTACCAAAACCAGCCTTATGTCTTTAAAAAAAGCTCTAACCTAGTTCTCAAATCCTAATCTTTGATCTTCAAATGAAATCCTATTTTGTCCTAATGGATCATTTTAGGGGCTAGAGGTTTGATTTTGACTCTGTCTCACAAATAGTCGATCCCTGGGTAACAATATAACCTATCTTAGGGATTTTTTAGCCCAATTCTATCCTCAACTTAATATAAGTATCAACCATAGTAATTAATTATCTCTTCCAATCTGATTTTATCAATTTATGGTCTCTTTAAAGTAGTAAAAGAGTCTCTATAGCCTAGAAGATGAAAGTACTAACCAACCTTCAACCTACTAACTATTAAGATAACAAAATAAACTAAGAGGCTTTTATAAAAGCCATATTTAGATACCTTGAATTATTATTGAACCAAGATAATTAGATATTAATTAGAAATTTAACTTCGATTATAGTTTATTATATAGTCGTATTACATCTCAACAATATTCAAAAAGAGTGTTTTTAAGTCAATTCCATATCAAAGATACCAAAGTTCATGCTTAGTCATAAATAGAAGGTTTAGAACACAATCGATGGCTATAAGGGCCTATAAATTATTTGCCTCATAAAAAACAACTTGAATATATAGCAAACACCATGCAATAAATCTTCAACTTCTTGCACATATATTGACTTGCAGCAACATTGCTTCTCGGAGACTTCAAAGCTAGAGGAGGAGATGATGTTATGGACATATAACTCAAGAAGGTTCAAGAAGGTTCGAAGAGGTTCTAGAAGGTTTTAAGAAGGTTCTTGTAGATCCTAGAATATTTCAAAAGATTCTAGTAGGTTCTAAAAAAGTTCTAGAAGGTTATAGGAGATCTTGGAAGGTTCTAAGATCCTTTAGATGATTTAGGAAGTTGTCAAAGTAGGATCTTAGGCTTGATTTATTTCCAAGCTTCATAGAAACTTTTCAAGAAGCTTCCTAGGACCTAATATATATAGGAGTCGAGGTTGAGGGGATTCTCAGTCTCAACAAGTTACTTCTTGTGGTCTAGCCAGGACCTGCTTGCCTTGTATCTAGTTATTTTTTTAATATCAAGTTAATTCTATTTCTTGGTCTTGAATCCTTGTCTTGTATACAATCCCTAATAGATTATAAAAAACTAATATCAATAGATGGTAATGGATATCTTCAATATCATAGTAAATATGATGGAAGGACTCTCAATATTAGCAATCATATTGTAGACAATCAAGATGTTGTTCCATACAATCCTATTCTTAGTAAAAAGTATAACTATTTCATCAATATTAAAGTTTGTACATATATTTGTACTATAAAATATATTCACAAGTATATCTATAAAAGGTATGATTATACAACTATGCAAATTGGAATGAGCAAGATGAAGTCAAGAAATATATTGATACATGATATATTAGAGTTTCTAAGACAGTATGGAATTTGATTAGAATGAAAATACATGAGAAAATTTGAAATAAGATTTAATTTGCATTGCATCTTTCTAAAATGTATTAAATAATTTTTTATCCAAACAATGAAGTAGCTGAAATCTTAGCCTAAAGAGAGCGGCAAAAAATAACTTTGAGAATATTTTTTGAAATATAAGAATCTATAAAAATTTCTTGGCAATATAAGTATTAAGAATTTTCATAATATTTTGTATAGAATAAGACTTCAAAAGAAGAGGATAATAAAAAAATGTGAATTTGTAATTGAACATTATATTTTATTGATCATATTGCAAGAAAAAGATTCTATCTTTGGCTTCTTTTAATGGTAGCATATGGACCATATTCATTTAAAGATCTATGTATTGTAAACAAAGTGCTTCCATCAAATTTTAAGAGTACATGGTTATAAATGGAATTATTAGAAGATGACAATAAGTAGAATCAATGCTTAAAAAAAGCCTCCATAAGAAAAATGGAGAAGCAATTAAGAAAATTATTTACTATCATTCTTCTTCAATATTTACTTGTATATCTACATATTTTGATATTCTTGCTTCAGTGGATAATAATCTTAGAAGGATATATTTTTTGAAAGTTTTAAGAGGAAGTGAAAAAACATTTGTTTATAATACAATAACAATGAAGTTCCAAAATGATGGAAAAATTATTTTAAATATTGCTTCTTCTAGAATTGCAGTATAACTTTTAAGTGGTCGACAAATTTGATATTCTATGTTTAAAATTCCACTCAATCTTCATGAAGATTTGTTTTGCAATATTACAAAGAATGAACTACATGCAAATGTATTAAGAAAGATAATTCTTATCATTTGAGATGATGTACCAATGTAACATCACCATTGTGCTAAAGTAGCTAATAGAACTCTCCAAGACATAAATCATACTAACAAGTTATTTGATAGAATTACTATAATCTTTGGGGGAGTTTTTTGGCAAATTCTTTTTATTTTCGTTAAAAGCTCAAGAGGAGAGATTTTTGATACTTCTTTGCAATGATCAAATATCTATTCTAATATTAAATTATAGCAAGTTGAATAAAAACATATGTCTAAAAGGTGTATCTAATGAAAATTTATTATTTGCTAAAGAACTTTTGAAAGTATGAATTATATAAGATTATTACTTTTAGAAGTTTTTTTATAATATAATTATTTTTTAATATATCTAGTATTATATTTTATTTATAAGTTAGAAATAGATCAACAATTATAGATCTATTAAAAAGTATCGAGATTCTTTTAGAATATATGAAAGTAAGTTTAACATCAAATGATTTAATTCAAGCTGTTTTTTTGAAATTGAATAATAAAAAAATACTTAGAGATGATTATTTTATTGATAAATCTATTTTATTTGCTCAAAATTATAATATTGATGATTTAAATAAGCATGATATGCAAAGACTTTTTAAAGTTTTATGTATTTATTTCAAAGTAGATGTAGCAATTGTAGAAGATGGTACCAATAATAGTAATTATTATCCAATCAAGTATTTGAATAGTTTCAATATATCTAGATTGCCACCATTTAGCTTAAAACTCCAGATTAGATGTCCTATTATGTTATGGCAAAACATTGCTTCATATTAAAGAATTTGCAATGGATCACATGTGATCATGATATAACTAAGTAATTGAGTTATAAAATTAAGACTTTTATCTGAAGACTATAAAAGATAATTGGCTTTTTGTCCTAGGATCTGATTATGCCCATCATCTATTGACATTCAATTCAAGTTGCAACAAAGTATTAAGGACATGAATCTTAGAAAAGAAGAATCTAAGTACACTCTTGTGTCATTCAAAAATACTAAAACATTACTCAATGATGGTAATACATTGAATTAGAATGGCTATTACTAAAAAAAAAAGATTAGAAAGTTTAAAAATAAGACT